TATAAGGGTGTGCTGCCCAGCCTGCTTGAGCGCACACTGTCAACTAACGTAAGTAGAAGCGTTGTCAGCGGCAATCAAGCGCATAACATAATTTAAGTTTATAAAATGTCTGCTATTTGCATAATTATTTATTTGTTTACTTTTGTTTCGCTCAGGTCTCAAATTACTTTACACTTCCGTTGCGCACACAAAGCTCATTCGATCCGAATGTGAAAAATTTCCCGATCGGCATGCAAGACACTGTGTTTGGCGAGCAAACTTGTCTGCGTGGTCAAGTGGGTGCTGTACTCTTGGCAGAGCCCACCACAAATATCAAAACCATATTCGATGCGGGCATACATTTCCCTTCGATATTCTCGCAAGACAATGATTTGCTCGAATTAACATCGCGTTTTGTATTCTGCTATGCACCCGGTGGTTATTGGAGCGAAAGTTGTCAAGATCTCATACCGGGCGGTCGTTTTCCATCACAAGTCCGTGCACATCATTGCTCCATAGTCAAGATACAGGATACAATAAATAGTATCGGCGGCGTACAAGCGATATTGCCGATTCTGCATCGCCTCACAAAGCAGCAAGATGATTTTTCGCTATCCAGCGCCGAGGGCAATGATTCGCTGGGCAGCGGTGAGCAGTTGCGTACACCAACCGCAGAAGAATTCTCCGATTGGGAAATGCTATCCTCAAATTCTTACACAGGTATGTGTCACTTAACTTAAAGTACTTTATACTCAACTAAGCAAGTATACGCCAAACCTTTACAGAGTGGAAAATGATACAATTTTCCGTAGCCAGTTTCATTTGCTTCCTGCGCTACCTTACACACGCTCATGAAAACAACCAAGAGAATATGCTGAATAGTGAGTGCCTACAAATGATTGGCGCTATGCTGCAAAAGTGTTCGCCCAGCATATTCGATGTGAATGCGCTGATGGCCACGCATCTTTTCATAGAATCATTGCAAGGGCAGAAGTCGGAGATTGGCAATGCGCAGGGCAACTCGGCGCTGCTGGACGTACTCTATACAGATATCGCTTTCAACTTTCACATTTGGGCACGCATGAACTTCCAAATTACGCTCGGTCATGTGCAGTACCTTAGCGCTATGATTAAGAACGATCGCAAGTACTATCGCAAGAAATTCGGCATACAATTCTTTTTGGATGTTGTGCGTGATCACTATAGTGCGCCAGACAGCATAACGCCCGAGGATGCGAAGACGCTACGCGCCACGCTTTATGCAATTGTGCGATTTTACCTGCAGAAAGATGTGAATATCAAAGAGATATCCACAATGATTGCGTTCTTGGCTTCGGTGCGGCAGGAAAATGTGCTTATCGAATTTCTGGAGATGTTGACCTTCCATATTAAGGGCAAAAATTGCAAAGATCAAATGATTCTGCTATTGCACGAACCCCAAACGGCGAATTTGCTGTACAATTATTTTGTGGATAAGAGTTATAGCACCGAGGTGCAAGAGGCGGCTATAAGGGTGCGTATCTTCCATTTTTAAATACTAAAATAAAATAAAAAGCAAAAGTCAACCATTAATTTCATTATTTTTCCTTACACAGTTCATTAATTGTTTGCTGAGCACTTCGCGCGTAAATCAAAAGTATAAACAAATACTACGACTGCACGACAACGCCAGCGATAGCTCATTTTTTCCCGGTTTTTTTTCCTATACCATACCGATGACACTCAGCTCCACCATACTCTTTCACTTGGTTGACGAAATGTTGAGCACGGAAGCCGATTATGCGGGCATTATTTTCCTTGTTCATCACATCAGCACCTGTGAGTTGCCCATTAAGTTGGAGATCGCCAAGCGTCTATTGCAAACCACATTTGTCAAGCACAACTCACCGCAGGCCATAGCCAAGCAATCGGGTTGGCAGGAGTCTATTGCGCGTCTGCTCATACACAAACCAATTACGAATGTTAAACCCGATGAAGAGAAGCGCAAAAGCTTTGGCATTAGTTTGGATGTACTTTTAGAGGATAATAATGACTTTGCGAATCAATCGGACTTGATTAGTTTTTGTGAACAGCAAGTGGAGTTGGAGCAATTGGCCAAGGAACATGATGATGAGCAGAGCGATGGCGGTCTCATATTGAATGAGATACAAGCGAGTGTTACCGAGGCCGCCAACGTTATCGAGAGTGAAATTAAAGGTAAAGAAAATCAAGGAGGCAACAATAACCTTTTAGTTTTTGTTGTAACATCTTAGTTTTCTTAAAAACTACTGTTTAATAACTAGGCTAATTCACATTTATCGAACAATTATCATATATAATATATTTAATCTTGTTTGCTACATACTGCTGACTTGAAAATAATTAAATTTTATTGTCTTTCAGAACTGGCGGAATCTGTTTCTGGTGCTGTTGTAGAAAATGTTTCATCTGTTTTCTCAGTTATACGCCAAACGACACACGATATTCAAGACACCTTTGAGTCTTTAACTCTCGGTGCATCGACTGAGGCTGAGACAACGGTAAGAATATAACAGTAAATGTCTGCACTAATTTTTAACCTCCTTTCTATTTTCGTTTAATAAGAGCCTTTCGCGCCAACGCACGGAATCTATAAGCTCAGATAGTTCAACGCAATCGCCAAAGCGAATTATCAAAAAAGCGGACTCGGAGGTAAGTGCTGCTCAAGCTGCTTAACACAATAATATTTAACGCATATATTTTTTGTATTTTTAGAGCAAAACTACCGGCTTTGAATTTCCACCCGAAGCCGATGTGGATAGTGAAGAGCAGCTTGTGTATCTGGTGTCAAATATATTATTCACCGTTTTCTGGCGTGGCGTCAGCAATGATCATCCACAATGTTGGAAGGAACGTGGACAAGTGCTTGGCTGTATAAATTTGCTGGCGCTCAACAATGATTTGGTTACATCGCATCTATCTTTGCGTCTGCGCATACTCGAAATGGCTGTGCAGGCGTCGCTTTTCGATCTATCCGAGAATGGCAATCAGACGCTAATTAACCAGGAGGTGTGTAAATATTTATAATAATTCTGTGATAGCATACACATTTTATTATAATATTTTATTTTGTAGAACGCCTCACAAATTCTACGCATGGTCTATGACCTTGTCGTGCTCGGTTCGAATGAGGATGAATCGAAGAAATGTTCAACAAAACTATTGGACGGTGTTTTAGCACTCTTGGACGCTTTGATGATATTCCAACAGGGCTCTTCCGATGATTGGTCGGATATGATACGCTTGTGCTTGGGTTTGCTTTTAAAATGTTCGTATCACCCCAATCCGGGTGTGGTGGCTATGGCCACGGCGAAATTGCATGCCATTCTGCAAAGTCGCAACACAGAAGATCCCAGTGAATTGGCGTATTTGTTGTTCAGTATAAATCGCGCTTTAGACAATGCTATTGAAGGTTGGTATTCTACGCTTGTCAGTTTAACGGTTTGCCTATATATACGCGAGCTAGTCCCTCAGTTTTTGAGATATCGATCTAAAATTTAGTACACGTCCTTTTTCCCCAAGAAGCTGCTCATTTGTGGGTATCGCTGGTAGCTTCGAAATCTATTATAAATTGAACTTAAAGCCAATGTTTCCTTCTACCAATTTTTTCTACTTTATAAATCGTATTTTTTTTCTATTTTTGCAGTTGGTAATCCCGAAGAATATTCGTTTCTGATGCCAGTTATGAAAGCTTTACTTGAAAAATGCCGTAAGGTTTTTAATTTGGATACAAACTTACCTGACTTACCGCCTACCTCATCGGGTCCTGTGTTCTTCAACGATTTCCAAATGTATAGCACAAGCAAGAAGTGGCACAATTTTATTGAACGCATCGTAAGTACACTTACGTAATATAAAAACCGTTATAATTCTTATCAAAACCTTTATTTTTTGCATATATTCCATAATAATTTACAATAATTTTACGTTATAAATATGGTAGATAAAGCATATACAAATTCTTTATATGGTATATTAATCTTCATCTTTATATAGTCCAAGTGCGATCCCCATCTTGAGGATCAGCCATTGAACCTAACCTAAACTTCATCATTGTTTGAACAATTAGCAAAGTTCGCAAGTAAAACCATCCGTTAGTAATGTTTCCAGATACAATTGAAAGACATAACCTAACTCATTGGCGGAGTACCCTTTCGTTCTGGAGCGAAACTACTCGACCCTTGAAAAAATTATATTCTTTCGATGCTTTAAAATTATTACAAATACAAAAGGATTACTTAACAATCCGTGATATTTCTATAACCGTCAGATCTAACAGTTGAATTATTATTACTTCCGAGTATAGTGCGCATCGTCGTAAGAGAAATAATTACAACTCGTGAGCGAGGTTACCACACTCTTGCGATAATAATGTCATCGTTAATTGTTTTTACCCCGCCCTATTACAAATAATTACATGTACAACCTTAATCAGTACCGTTAAGAGCAGTCAAATTTAATATTTGTATTCCTACATAAATATTTAAGAATTCCGAAAATATTAGAATTCTAGACAAAACCACATTTTTCCCATTGCTACAATTCTACCCAAACCCTTTCAGTATATTTCTACTCAATATAGTTTATGGTTTTTCGGCAAATTCTGCGCAAATGCGCCCAGATGCCGTTCCAAGTGCTCATTTCGTGGGCTTTTGAAATAAGTCGTTTCGAAAACGCTTTTCGTAGTGCGATGCGGCACGGCCTCATCTCTTGTAGACGTAGGCACATTTTGTCGTGTCACAGGCGGAGCTCGTGTCGGTTGTCTGTAAGTATTAGCTCGTGTACGATGTGCGCTGTGTTCGTTTGTTTTCGGTATGGTCGAAGTGCCGCCATAGTAGCTATATGAACGAGATTTATCTACCGTTACCTGAGCAATATTCTCACTTGCGCTGTGTAGCGGTGTTGTTGTTTGTCGCGTTCTCGTCGTTACACCGTGAGTTGGTGTATATGGCGGCGCCACAGATTGTTGTTGTCGTTGGCGACCAGAGTTTTGTCGACGTTCTTTCGGTCTTACCGCAGAGGGAGCCGGTACCGGCGGTGTTTGACTCTTCGTTGCCGTAGCGGCAGGTAATGCTGTTGGTGTACTTGCCGCACGTATACGTATGGGATTCCATGCGGTACTAACATAACTGTTATCGTTCCCCACATCCGGCGTGATAGTGGGCAAGAAATAGTTGGGCTCGTCATGGCGTTGTGCCTCCACGTTATTGGATTCATTGACGACAGTGTCGGGGCTGAGCGCCAATTGGTTCTTATGACGTTGACCTGCCTCGAATGCCTCTTTCAGCTCGGGTGCGTCCAAGATATGTTTGGTGGTGACAGCTGGAGTGCTATTGCGCAGACGCTTACGCTTGGTTTTTACTTTGAAACCCTTTGTGATCCTTGTAGGCGACGGTGTATTGAAATTATTCGAAGGGTGACGGGTTGCTGGCGCATCTGCGGTTGGTATAGGCGAGGATGCCGATTGTGCATGATTATCGATGTGCTGATTCTCGAATGTGTGTGGTGGATATGTTTCGTGTTCATCGGTGTTCGATGGCTCGAAGGGTATCGGATCATAGATGGGCACTGCATAACTCGATCTTGGATAGTCATATGCTGGCGGCATATATTTAGAATTTATAGGCAAATTATTCGAAGGTGATATGTAGTCAGGTTGTGGGTACTCCGCAGACGCGGATGGACTGGAAAAGTTTGGGTCGGGTGGGCCATATGTAGATGGCGGTTGAGGTGGTGGAGACTCGGGTGCGCTGTATGCTGGCGGCGAATGAGGCGCGGGTACTTCAAAGTCACTCGATGGCGGATGAATTGGTTGTTCAGGAGGCTGATATGAAGGTGGAGCATGCGATTCGGGCACCTCATACGATGTAGGTGTATGCATTTCGGGTGTTTGATAAGATGGCGGCTCATGTAAGTCGGTGTCTTCATAAGAGGCAACTTCATGTGATTCGGGTAGATCATATGATGGAGGTGCATGTGACTCGGGCGGTGTATGCAACTCAGGTGGGTGATAAGATGGTGGGGGTGATGGAGGTGGACTGTATGAAGGTGGTGCTGGTGTTTCAGGTATGCGATATGTAGTTGTAGGTTTGTACACCGGTCCCTTGGGTGTATGGAAAGAAGGCGTCGGCTCTGCTGGCGGCTCAGCAAAGTGTCCAGGTACTGGTCGATAATCTTCTACTGGTGGCGGCTTATGATTGGATGGTGGTAAAGTAATCTCATAAGAGGGTGAATAGGTGATCTCGACATTGGTTTTCGGCGGTGGTTCGGCAAAGCTAGTATGACCTGACGTTTTCACCGTGTTGTAACCCGCATTTGGTATTTTCTTATCATAAATGCTATAGCTATCTGTTGCTGTTGGCTTCGGGGCGTTATAATCAGGTTGTTTGGCTGGTGTTGTAAAAAATACCGGTATATTCGGATCTGGTACACCATACTTTGCGGCCGGTATATGCGTATTCGGATGTGAACTTGTCACGACCGGTGTGTAGTCATAAAAATTGCCGTCATTCTGTGGCGAAGCCGTATCGTAGCTGCTCATCGGGTGCATGTCGTAAACATTATCGGGTGGTATAAAAGAGTGTGTATCCTCATAACCCGAATCACCGCTGCTGCTGCTTGACATTTCATAGGCGCCGCCATGATGCTTCGGTCCTTTGTAGCTGTGTGGTTTCAAATTTGGCTTTCTTACCTCCGTTTTGGTCGATGTATACGAATAGGTGGGCACCTCTTTCTCCGTATCATAAGTACCATATTCTGCATGTGTGACTTTAGGCGGTTGCGGAAACGTGTGTTCCGTGTTACTGTAGAAATCCAAATCCATGGATTGATCTTCATAATGATTACCTTTTAATGCATGCACATCATAATCGGCGGAATTGAAGTGATTTGTCAAATCCAATTCGTCGATTGACGAATATTTCGGTGGTTCTGAAATCTCGGGTAAATATTGTTTCGTTGGTTTGTAGTAAGTGATCGGGGGACCGACACTATAATTTGGTGGTCCATATTTGTATTTTGGCCACTTCTGACGTCGCCGTGACTTCGTGCCGCGCTTCGGTGGATGGACCACATGCCGTATAATGGTGTAGGGATGTTGGCGACGCTGTCGCACCAATTTTGCTGCCAATATGGGCAATGGTTCTGATAAATTAGTTGCTGTTGTTATCGTTGTTGTTTCGAATGCATTTGAGTTCGTTGCTGTTGTAGTAACCGGTATTGTTGTTGTTGTTTCAGCTTCTGTGTATGGTTTTGTTGTTGTGCCGTTGGAAACATCGCATAAAGAAAGTATTGCGGCATAAATCTGTTGGAAAGAGAGTGAAACAGTTAGCTTACTCTAAGTTTATATGTTCTTGCGAGACAATAAGATTATGGAGATATCATCGCCTTACATAATTCAGTACAAAATAAACACTTTAGCTTAACCGCCAAGTACAAACATTATTACCAGGGGCCACTGGACTTAACCCTCTCTAACAGTGGCTATACATATAACTCCCTGTAATCCTAACTGTTCAGTTTGCTATCTCTGATGCTACATATGTTATAGGTACTTATGCTTCACCGCTGCCCAATCGATATCCAGTTTAAGAACAGGAAATTTATTGAAATTGCAGAGTCCTACCAAAATCCTAAAAAACTAAATGGTTACTTATCAAATATAATAAGAAATAAAATCTCTTAATAAAGTCATGTCAACATAACTTGATCTACTACCAAAAATAGTTTTGCTAAACCGCACCAGCGATACCATAGATTTCCCTCGCTTCATCGTCCCTTTTCTATACATATTTTGTACATTTATATTCTATCAAAGATTTTTGAGCTCCACAACCTTGAATAAATGAAACCTCTTAGTGAATGGAACTCCGTGAATATCAAGGTTGAAATGCTTCACTTTATTCTTCAATAATTATTGGCTTCTGACATACAGAAGTTGAATGTCAAACATAGTTAATTATTCTCAATTTCATACGCACGCGTTCTGTGGTTATTCCTAATTAAATTTAACAATGAATTTTGCGTTTGTGTCCAATCTGAAATCTAGTGGCAGGCGGGTGTCATAACCATGCAGAAAATGGTAAGATTTCTTTTACTTACAAATATAGGGTTAGTAAACACGAAATTATTTTACATTTTTGTAACAATATTTATTTTTATAAGACAGCTATGACGTTTAACTCGGTCTTAGACTGCAAACGCGAAAAGTTTGTCTAGCGATTTTTACCATGAAAAAAAAGAACGAGTTTGCTTGAAATTTTGCTGATTTTAGGGAGTTTCCTCTATCACGAACGTATTTGAGTGGCAGAAAGCATTCAGTTAAGGTCGTGAAGTCATTGAGAGTTTGCCTTATGTGAGTCGTCCATTCACCTCTGTTATCTTTTGCAAAAATGACGTCGCAAACGAGATGCTTAACAAAGTAGCTGAAGACCCTTCATTCATTAAACGCATTGTTACTTGTGACGAGACAAGGATGAGGCTTATGAATATGACGTCGCAACTGTGTAACAACCTTACGAATGGCGCTCCAAAAATGAGTCGAAACCGAATGAACTTCGTCAAAGTCGGTCAAAAATCAATGTCATGCTAGTCGTTTTCTTTGATTATCGTGGTGCAGTTCATCATGAAGTCGTTCCACAGCGTCAAACGTTCAATAAGAAATATTACTTGGTCGTTTTGAGGCGTCTACGTGACGCAATTCCTTGTAAACGATCGGATTTGTGGGCAGAAAATTCATGTTTTTTTTACGACTTTAATACGCCGTCAGATTCTAGTTTCATTATGACTGACTTTTTGGCCAAACACGAAACTAGAGTCATCGCTAAGCCGCCGTATTCGACAGTTTTGGTTTTCTGTGATATTTTTCTGTTTTCAAAACTGAGAAGACCGCTACGGGGAACTAAAAATTGGTAAAAACATTTAGGTTGCAAGCATATTAGTTTTTTCGCAGTATATGAGGTTTGTTGTTGTTTTACAAGATTTGGCGCTTTGTAAATATCTGGTCAATGGTAGACCTCCCATGTCTGAAGGCAAACTCATAAGGCATTTTTTATATTAGATAGCATCAGAATTTGGTCTCCAGAGCCTGCATTCAAAACCTATAAGAAGTATACCAAAAATACTTCCGGGAATGTAACTCAAATACAAAAAAAACTCTTTTTGAGCTTAGATGTATTTAAAAACTTTAACGTGTGCTATATAAATGATTATCTACAATTGAACTAGGTTTTTAAGGTACGCTGAGTGCAAAGGGCGTGTTCCCACGTTTACTTATTATTTTGTTCGATATACTTGTATATGCCTACAGTACAAAATGCAACCCTATTTGAATGGAAGTTTTCTTCAGGCTTTTCTGAAGTCTGAACAAACCTACCGACTCACCCTCTACAAATGTATATTTATTCGATTATCGATATTTCTATTGTAATCTGCACAGCTGTGTGTCGACGACTTCGTCCAAGTGTGGAAAACACGTCCAACAGCTGCGCATGCGTGATCATTGTGACTGCCAGCTTGTGCTCTTATACTCTATGCGAAAGCCAAATGCATATCCCTCCATCTATGTACACATGTGTGTATTTATATAAATGGCAATAGGTGTATTGATCAAATAAATAAAACTATAAATGGAAAAAATGTCAATAAATAAACACAAAAATCCTGACTGCATAGCCACTGCCCGCCGATTTGTTTTTTATTCATTCATTTAATTTTCAATTAACCAGTTTTATGTAAACACGAGTATTCGTAGCACAGATCACACACCGGTTATTGCGTGCGTTATGCATTTCTTGTCGCCATTAAGCACAATCGCTATCGTTCAATGACTTTTTAACTTTTCTATTGGCTTTTGTTTACGCTTGTCGTGTTTTTTCCACCGAACATCATAACAAGATAGTTGTGTATAGCAGTACTGTGGGTCCTAGCTGTTGGCCCAACACTTATGTGCTTATGTGTAGTTCCCACGCTTGAACGTTACGCATGCGCACACTTTTGGCTTATTTTTTTTTTCTATTTTTTGGCACTTTCACTTTTCGACAACGCAATCGCATTTGCTCGAGCACATTACAGTTGCTATTTACGAGGATTTGCTTACAAATATTTACAAAAAAGTATTGAATATCGAGTTTCGGCTTGCGCCGCAATTGAGTCATAAACTTGTATAGCTCGTTTAGTGCAACTTTTTATAGTTTTCCGTTAATGTGTTAGAAGCACGCTGCAAATAGCTTTTCCACCATACTTACTTTCAGTCACATAATATATGTGAACTGTGCTTTCTCGCAGTTGGTATGTTGTAAGAGACCTCTAACCCTGCACATGGTCCTGATAGATTACTGACTTTTTCCTCTCACTTTTTAAATATGTAGTTAAAAATTGTCAAAAATTCAACTTAAGTTGCATAGATGATACTTTTAATAATTTATTAATTTTCACGAAAGTAAAGGTTGCGACATCCAGTGATCTTCAATCGTAATTTTCAAATTTTTTGGAATGGTATTCCTTTCTACTTCCATAGTTAACTTCGTTTAAGTAATCTATTAATGCCAAATGCAGGTTTAAGTATATATACAGTTATAGAGTTTCCTACTTTCGCCACATATCGTTATAAAATTAGGAATATAAAATCTTCGGCGAAAATTTGTTAGTATATCTCAATAGAATATATCTGAATCAATATATAATATCATTAAGATTTAGTTATGTGTTCTACATTAAACGATTATTAGTAATTTATTAGGGTATATGAGACGAACTGTTCTTTGGACGTCCGTCTGACTAAAAATGGTGGTATGGAATACGTTTTGCTGTTCACCCTTAATGGCTTTTTATTGCACACCGAATGGAGACGACTTGTTTCCACACCCCCATAACCGCTTTATTATTCGTCTGCATAGCATGCACATACGTCACTTAAATTTAGCACTGGGGTTTATAGACGATAGAGGTTTTAAAATATTTGCAAATTAAATGTGGTCCACCCTCTAATTTATAAATATCTTAAGCTCAGACAAATAGAATTCACCCCCTGACCACCTTATCCACGTTTCATATGACAATAGTTAAGGTGTAATAGCAGAAATGTGAAGCTTGTTGATAAGAATGATAGGGCTTCATATGATATGCTTCACAAATTGCAATATGGGTGTTGTACTGCCCAGTTTTGGTTGACATTTTTATATCTATCATATTTCCACACCGATTTCAACCAAAATTTGTCACCTAACATTTCCATGGGGTTATCTTGGTACAAGACTGGAAAAAATTGGATCACAATCACGATATCTGATTTTCTTATAACATTATCAAGGAAAACAGTCTACATACACCCTTCGATTTTGACAAATCTGTTACGAAAATCAAAAAAGTCCTTATGTCAATATTTAAGATATTTGCAAAAAAGTTTATTTCCGAAACAAAAAAGTAATTCATCGCAATAACAAAAACAAAAATAATACATATGAGGGCTATATACTCGTATGCATGTACATCTCTTTCTTTTCATATACCGAAAATAATAATTTCACATGTGACTGCAAATTTTATCGCCTATATGTGTACTTAGATTTATATGAGTCAATATATGAGTTACTTCGTGAAAGTCTAAATATTCAAGAATATTTGCTGAAAAAGATTTTTCTAAACTGAAATTATTTATTTAGAAAGCTACAGTTATTTTAGTGTCGTGACAACTTGGCGGGTTTGGTCAGTCTTAAATGTTTGAAAGCATTTTCTCAAAACATTTTTTCGAGGCGTTTCCGAAAAAATTTCGAGTTCAAATCAAGTAATTAATTTGCTTGAAATTTGGCACAAAATTTCTTTATATATCCTTTTACGTGTGAAACAACAAAAAGTTAAAATTTTTAATTTGCACTTTACTCGCTTTAAAAAAATCCAAAAAGTTGAAAATGAAAAATAATAAAAACATCGAACTTTTTGCACGAAGTTTTTTTTATTTTGATCTGAAAAGCTTCCAGCAACAATGACGTTTGTACTCATTGAGAATCTACCATTTGTCTTTTTTTCATGATTAGAAGAGTGGAAATCGTGACAAGCTAGACACGTCCATTTTCCCCTCTAGTTCAACAACGACAAATGAATTAAAGAATTAAATTATTTTTTAAAATTGTTTGTAAGCTGTTGAAATATTATTAACTGTTTAAAATTTGATACAAATTTTTTTTTTTTTTTTAATTATGGACCCTCTTAAAAAATACCATAGGATTAGTTGGTACCACTAACGGCTCACAATTTCAGCGCATAACGAATGTTGAGTTCATATACAACCTTTTTCAATTCAATTATTTTACTATTAATTATATTAATATAATTAATTTAAAGTTTATTTATTACAACTTTTATTATTTTTTTGTTATTTATTGATAAGTTTTTACCATGTTTTTCAATTAATATTTTTTTTACTTTCCTTATCAATTTTCATTGTTTTTAATTGTAATTTACATTATTATTACATTGCTAACTCCCTCTTGCCCCAGATTTTTCGCTTATCGTCCATGCGTTAATGGCATTTTCATTTTCCGCATAGCCAACACATTTTCGAAGTAAATTTTCACGGAAGTGGGGAACGCTTTCACTTCACTGCCTTTGATTAAAAATGTGTATTTTTGAATATTTCATTTGCATTCTTCAAATTTGTTATGAAAACCGATCAAACATGCGCTTATCCCTTTTATTGTTTCAACACAATTTATCTTGTTAATTACAAATATTTTTTACAATTTATGGTGTTCATTAAAAACTACATAGTTTCCAAGCGCACACGCGAGTTAATACAAACACATTGTTATTTTTGTTATTATTTACGCCGACAGCATACACATTTCACTCTCAACTGCTTTGCTGCTAAGTACTTGGAAACGAGCCTCACAATATATTATCATTTTTAATTACAATACTTTTCTATTTAATTTTTTCCATGCTTAAAATTGTGTAATTATGCAATGCAGCGACATGCTGCTTTTCGACCACTTCTATTAACTAATAGCTATTATTTTCGCTGCATGAACTTACAACGAATTGCCACAATCGCCGCATGATCACCGTTATGTTGCGTTGTGAACGCCACGGATTGTACTTTGCGTTAAACGGTAGCAGAGCTCACTCAGAGCTTTCTCATTAAATTTCAATAAATTCGGACATTCAATGCTATTTTATTCTGTGAAATATATGTATGTCTACAAATTCATCGTTATTTTTGGTGCTTACGCCTTCAGCAACTCACTCGCGCTCATCACGTCTTTCACGTTGACTTTCTTTCAGCTACTAAACCCAGCGCAAGAAAGTGGTCTTGTTTTTAATGAAAATGCAGACAATTATCCAATTCGTGTTGCTGCTGCTGCCACTGCCACTGCTAAAACTATGAGTCTACGTATGTATGTATGTATAGAGGTCTCTATATGTAGAAATGAATGAAAATAAACGTACTTATGTATTCACATTGGAGTTGTTGTTTGCTCTTTTCGCCTTCTTTTGCCACTGCCAGGGCCACTACAGTAGCTGTTGTTGTAATGCCTCTTAAGTGGCAGCAATTGTTGCCGCCTGCTCAGTGGACGAGCAACTCAGCGCGCGCTTTATGTGCTTTGTTCAGTTTAGTGTGGCGCCACATTCGTTTATTTCTATTTGGTGGCTTTGAGCTGAGCGCGCTCATCGTTTGATGCATCCACGAATTCTACTGGTCGCGTGCTTTTCCTTATAAGTGTCTATATATTTTCCGGTTTTTCACACGACAAGATACATTTGCCTTATTTTTCAAAGTTTTGAAGGGGGTGGGAAAAGTAAACTAATGTCTAATGAGGTCTTTACAGTCGACCTTTATATTGTGTGATAGGTGGTGAGTAATTCACCTCTCGCTTTGAAAAATTGGATGTACTGTTGACCAGCAAGGCTTTGATAGTTAAGGCAAAAGTTTTGTTTAATAATTTCTTCTAGAAATTTTCGATTCAAGCCAAATGATGGAATCTGTAGAGATATCTTTTAAAGCCACTCATGTCCACCTAATATTTGGGTCAGGTGGTATTCCAGTTTCTCAGGTCTGTCTATCCACGAATGGCTGTCCGGTATCAGTCTGTGCGTCCACCGTCCTTTGAATAACGGTTACCTTTATTGCTGTCAATTTGTGATGCTCTTGGTTCTCTTTTCTGGTTCACATCCTTGAATGTCAATGTATGGCATACTGTCTATTACTCAGTCAATCATCATCGCTGGATATGCTTCGACACTGATTACTCGTATCGCCGAAAGCCTATGCTACGTTTTGCGCTTAGTAGCTAAATTGTGCCAGTACTTCTAGCAGATTACACAAATGTCTTGAATCGGGATTGACTTTCACTTAATCCTTTGATTATAGTGGATCCATATTAAAGCCGTAGACTGAAGAGAATTATTATTTAAAATATCCTTCTCTTCTTAAATCATTTCATTTTCAACCTCGCAATACTATATGACCAGCCTTAGACCAATCAAACAGATATCTATTATGAACCCTGTTTACAGTTCTTAGCTACAAGAAGAAGTATTATAGGAACGGTAGACTGCATATAGCTAGAATATACGCATTCGTTACCGAATTGCAAAATAGAGATCTAGAGAGAAATTAAGAACGAACGGTTTTGAAGAAAATGTATACCTTGAAGATCGCCGAGTGAGATACATTTAAGATATAAATTCTTTTGGCATGCAAGCATCAATCTTTTATTCCGACATCTCCGCTACTTCTTCTCTTTTTGTTCTGACCACAAAAGAGAAAGAATTAAAAAAAAAATTTATTAAAAGCAAGCTGTGGTTTCTCACGACTTTCTATAGCTTTCTTGGTACCTTTTATAAATCCCTTAAAATAAAAAACAAATAGCAAGCATTTACCCCCATTGTCATCAATGTCATGCCGCCCATGCTTGCTGTCAAAGCTTTCCACAATTTTCGATGCGCTACTGAGCATCATCAGTTTGTGTTTTGTACTTTTCAGCAGCTGAGTGGCTTAAATGCTTTAAATCAATGCTCAAGCCGCGCTCAAAGCCACTGTGTGACTTCACGGAGTCATTGGTGACGTGCGCTCTGTGCCACAGGTGACTAACGGGTTGTGTCCGCATATAGTTCCGCTGCTGTAAACCCACTGATGGTGTCTACTTTATCGCGACTTAAGCTTTATTATAAACATTAAAGTAAATTTTTCGATTTTGTGTCTTCTTTCTGCCGCTTTACCCACACATTGCTGTCAGTATTTATGGTTTTGTGTGCATATTAAATATTTATGACGTCGCAGCTATTGCGGTCACATTGCCCCAATGACATAGCGCCTGTGGCTGCTTTTGCTTTGCATTTGCTATTTTTACATTTTTTTGTTAATAATTTTTCTATTATGTTATTCGTTGGTCTTCGGCTGGCCTATTTTTGTTCAGATTTCTTTCTTGTTATTTTTCTTTTTCTTGTTAAATTTCGCTATTTCCTCTCATGATTTTCAGTTTTCTTTAAGCTTTTATTTTCGGAATTATTTCCCAAGCAATATTACAATAAGCGGAACTCTTTAAGTTTACCACAAAGCATTTGGTTGCGCAATTTGTTACCTGGCATTGGTTAATTTGTTAACAAACTTTGTCGCAATTTTCCACGCCTGCGCCTCTAAATTGGCTTCTTTGCTGCTTATTATTTTTCCAGTTGTTGTGTTGTTGCAAGGAAAAATGTCACAAATTGTTTATGAAATACCGAATAATCATGTGGCTTGCCAAAATTCAATTATGTCATGTCCATCGCTATCGCTTTCCGACGCAACATCATCATCTTCGGGTCGTTGAAAGCCCCCGTTGAGAGCCACTCAGCATGGCTCGACGTATAACAAGCGGGAAAGTGATTTTTTGCCACTTGCCTGTCGGCAATGCTGTTTCCTCATCGTTGAACTTGAACTTTTGTGTTTTTCTATTTTCTCATTTGCTTTTACGTTTTTCGCTTGTTTTCCTCCCAGCTTTGTTAGGAGAAGTGATCGTGAAAGATTGCATTGATTTGCCCATTGCTTACGTTACGCCTGAGGGGAAACCAGTTTGACTTCAAACGCTTTCTACGTCCTCTCTAAACACTTTATACCCGGGGACGGGAAATCGCACTAGGGTACGAAGCTTAGTTTCAGAACAGTATTGATATATGCTGTCGTATACAGTTTCCGGAAGTGAAAATGGTCTACGCCGTGTTAAAAGGTTTCCATATTTGCCCGTAGATAGATATTTTTGCTCATCGAAATAGGTTATAGCTTATAGTGGTCTATCTACCGTATACTTGTAGTACGGTATTTTTAGAAACTGACACTTCCGATTTAATACACCGCAGTAATCTGAATTCAAGGTTAACTCCTCCACGTTCCGTTCCTCCACGATCTCTATGCCCCACTAACATTGCTAGGTTAGGTTAGGTTAGGTTAGGAGGTCGATCCCAGAAAGGATCCCACTTGAACAGCTTAAGACGCCAGTCCGTTGTGATACCTACAAAACTCCTATAATCTGGATCTACTTTGGCAACTAGCGTCGGGTAGTACACCAAGCCGTACCGCATGAGTGCCCATTAGACAGTGTCCAGTGAGAACTCCTACCATAGCGGCGAGATGCACTTTGCTCAGGGCGAGAAGTTCCCCCGACCTCCCACTAACATTGCTACTAAGCTTCGAAATATTCCTCAAATAGCTTAGATGACCGATTCAGACCGATGATGATTTCAGACTGAAAGACTATCGTATCGCCAATCCTGTAACAATTTTTAATTTAAAAAAAAAATGTTTGAAGTTGCCCTTTGCAGAACAAAAATCTAACCTCAAAATATACTTTTAACATAAAAAAAATCTATTAAAGAGTATAAATAAATTGCTCGCAAATTCGAACGTCCTTAGTTATTTCCGAGCAGACATTTCTCGTTGCATATATATATATATGTGTGGTTAAGTCACGTGATTTGCACACAAACAATTGACTCATTTCCAAATGGATGTAGACAACTCTGACGTTTAAATATTTCTGAAATTGAATTAAATGAATGGCTTTGTTTTTGTGCAGAGCATCACTATTGCCACATCTAAAGCACATACTTCCACATGTACACATACTTGTACACACATATATATTAAGGCAATATGCTGCTTGTGCATAACATTTTTCCGTCAGCCTTTTGACGCATGTAACCATCAAGCATACACTTTTATTACACATTTATTATGTGTATTATTTGTTATTGTGTGTGTTTCCTAATTTCATGCATTGCAATCACTTGTCTGCGCATGCGTGCAAACCGTGTGGGCTTTCCTCTTTCTTAATCACTTGCTTGCCGCTGTTACAATTGCTATTATGTTAGCTTGTGTGGTGTTATTGTTGTTGTTTTAGTTGCAGCTCCACGCTTGGCATGACATAACATTTGGTAATAGCAGCAAAATGCACTTAACTGGTCGTTGCGCATCAGATTTTTGCAGATGATTCACTTGTCTCATTTGTCAGTCGACAATGTTGGGTTGTGGCCCCTGTCTGCGCCAACAAATAAACGTAGATCATTGTCGCAATTAGCATAATTCGACAGTAAAAGATGCACGGCTGGTGGGTGGATTATTTGCATGTATGTATGTACATATGTATGTATGTTTGTCGGAAAATTCGCAAGTGAATGTGGTTGTTAATTGAACGTGTGGATTTTTTGCACTCGATTTTTGGCGCGCCCTGCAGTAATATGCAAAAAATGCCACGCAGATTCCATGTTGTCTCTTATGGAATAATGTAGCAATTATAACAGACGGTGTTGGTATTGCCATTGTTGTTATAGATTATAATAAATACACAAGCCTACCTATTATATATATTATTTTGACAAATGCTGTTGAGTTAACGAGTTTTTATTAGTTTTTGTTCTACGTAGGCTTATTAATTTTGAGGACGGTTTTCGATTTGACCAACAGAAGGTCAACCACCAATTATAGAATCAAACTGTCTTTTATACTCTTGCCACATGTTGCTACAAACCATAATAGTTTTCTTCACCTAACGGCTGTTTGTATCACCTAAAACTAGATATATAAAGAGATACATATATAATAAGGGTTATAATATTTATAAATGATCAAGATGACGAGACGAGTTGAAATCCGGGTGACTGTCTTTCCGTCCATCCGTCTGTCCGTGCAAGCGATAACTTGAGTAAAAATTGAGATATCTTGATGAAACTTGGTAAATATATTCCTTGGCACCCAAGGGAGGTTGCTATTGCAAATGTACGGAGTCGGACCATTGCGACGAACACAACACGCCATTAAATGAAAACTTTTAAAGTGCCATAACTAAACCGCAAATTAAAATGCAAAACTGTTACTTGGTACAGGAGATCACATTAGCCAGGGACAGCTGTGAGCTAAAAATTTTTACAACCAGAATGGTAGAGATGAGCTTTATAGGATCTGATGGGGAAACAAGGAGCGTGGCACCGCCCATCTTTAGGTGAAATCCTATATTCCAGGAATCGCTCGACCGATTTCAACCAAATTTGGTGTGTGAGGTTTTCGGGAATCGGATGACAACCACGTTTAATTCCCATATAACAAACTCTTAAATTTCGTCTAATTCAGTATACAAATCAAACATCAATCAAATTATCAGAATCAAACTTTGCACAAATAGTGTCCTCGAGGTATTTCATCTTACGTCCAAAAATTTACGAAATCGCAAACTTGTGCCAAAAATGGGGAAAAGCAGTTCAACACCCCATATACCTAACATAAATATTTTCGAACTTCCGGTTCACTTTATATCGCATCTATTGGGCAATATGTAAGAAATCTTAATGAAATTCAAAAAGAATCTTGTTCTAATAAGTGTGTATCCTGAAGGTGTTCCTCCGCCTTTGATCATTGCAAGTTGAAAGTGTATAACATATTTCTTACTTGTTAAGTTAAAAATTATATTTTAAACAAGAAAGCACAAAAATTTCAATTCTTTCAGTGAAATTAGATTTTTTTTCGTTCGACAAGCCAAACGTTTTTCTTTACATTTTTGCTCGACTTGGCTCTGGAAGACGTGTAAAATCCTGCTTTTTTAGCTGCATCTACTTTTTCCATATGGGCTAATTCTTAATCTAGCGTAATTAAATATATCGATATTATTAGCAACAAGATGTTGATCCTGGTGTTTACACCGCCAACTCTAAGTAAACCCCAACACTTTCTTCGCATAGTCCCATTGCTGTATAAATGCCCAGCTGAATTTTCCAATAGAAAATGTTTATCCATCCCTGATTGATTTCTAATCCAACTTATAATAAATTATTTTTTTCAATTTTTTAATAAATATTATATTATATTTTATTAGTTTAAGCATCCAATACTTTGACTCATTCAAGGTCTCACTTATATTTCTTTCAGGTCAAACCCTTGCACGATGTGTATCAACGCGAAATAGAATTGAACCTTTGGGAACCAATCAATCGTTATTGGGCCGAGTGTTATGAGGCATGTAAAGCAGCTTCGAAAAAACGCGGCACTTATCAAGCGGAAAACCGACGAATTTTCAATGTGAGTATTTGATTATAAAACAAGAAAAAACTTTAACTCCAGTTGCACTGAAACTATGATACCCTTCACAGGAGCCTTTCTTATACATTAAAAGGGACAAAAAATCATCTTGATTTTCATCGGTCAATTTGTATGACAGCTAATGTGTATATGATTACATGGTTCGGTCTAAGCAAGTGTAACAACCAGAAAACAACGTCGGAGACCATATATATAAAGTACAAGTATATATGAATGATGAGCTTCACGAGGTGGGTCGGTTTAGCCGTCCGCTTGTCTGTATACATGGGAATTACTCGCTCAGTTTTTAGATATTATTCTGAAATTTTGCTTACGTCCTTTTCTTCCCAAGAAGCTGCTCATGCACCAATATCGGACCACTATAGGATATAGATCATACAAACTGATCGATCAAAATCAAGATACAGTTTTTTTTATAGCTATAAGTAATGCACCTGTGAAAGGTATATAACTTCGATGCAGCCGAAATTAACATTTCTTCTTGATTTTTTTTTAAATTAATTTTTTTTAATTCGATACTTTGAACTTATTTTTATTATAAACCATAATAATTTTACAACATATTATCAATATTTAATTCTCATCATGATCTTCCATTCAGCAAAAAATCGTAATGCCTTGGAAAGTCCGTCAAGTCGAGGAATTGACACGTCTGAATGCGGCTACGCTGGCGCAAAAAACCACAACTAGTCACATCAAGAAACGCTGGAAGATGGCCAAACGTTTCTTGTATGGACCGCGTGGTCCATGGTTTACGGGGTAAGTGAAAAGCACTCGGGCGGGTCTAGTGCCAGTTCGTACAACTTGTAGTGGGCAGTCGCAATTTGTCTGCTGTGCTTTGTGCGCTCGAACGCGTCATGACATAATCACGACTAGTAGCGATCGTACGCCTTTCCCTTTTCGCTTGTGATTTAATTATGGAATTCACAGCGTTAACCTGTACTGCAAATTGTATTAAGTACTATGCAGTTATAATTTCACTTGATGATTACTTATTTACTTTTAGCTGTCACATTGTTGTAGCGTGCTAAATGTGATGGTGCAAACATGCCAACGAACCACGGCGATTGTAAGACGAGTAATTAAATGTTTATTGTATTTTATTTTTAGCTAAGCTACTGGATAAGACACAAACGAATTTACTAATTCACTGACGGATTTTATGTGTCTCGTTTTCTCTTCATATATTTTCTTCTCATTTATTTGATATTTTTTTTTTTTTACTTTTGCATAGTCTCTTTGCTTCGTCACTCATTTCATTTCAAGTAATCAAGGTAATCAAAGTTTGATTCGTAACAATTGCACCGGACTGAACGTGGAGTCTTTAAGTGATGTGCTGGCATTACGTTTTAAATAGTTTTTGTAAGAAATTATAGCAGCTCGCGTTAAGCTCTGCTCAAATTAAGATGTGTAATTGTGCTTTTAATATGATTTTCTCTTTATCTCCGCCGTCGTAGCGAGCACAGCCGCCATCTCGGTATCGATTTACTTTCTAACTAAAGTATAACTTTTATTATTTTTGCAGTTTTTAATTGCGAATTCATGTGACACTCTCGTTGACGTTTTCATAACTGAGATTTATGTATTATCTACTCATTTTTGTTTTGCTCTTATGGTCCCAGTTTTAATTGGATAGTGGTGGTGTCTGTCAATTCTTTTTTGTTTTTTTAATGAGAAGGGCAATGTATTGTGTGTTCGTGATTACGTTACTTTAACGCTTAATACCTTAAGCTTTACTAATTACATAATACGATTACTGACATTCGGAAGATACATGTTTCTTCACCAGAAGGTGTGCAATAGGCCAGTATATTGATTAAATGGAAGAAGTGTAATTTTTTCACGTAAATTCATACAAACTAAATAGTACATTTTTATGCGTGTTTTTCAAGTTTCAAAACCTTACACTCTTGATGAGCGCTGTTATCGGACCTCTATAACATATATCTGCTATACAAACTGAACGACGAACTGTCCTTGTATGGAAAACTTGTTTTTTTTTTGTGACGAGATATCTTCACGAAAATTGGCATAGGTTATTGTTCCAGGCAGCGCTACAACCTCCGAAAAAATTCTCTAGATCGGACCACTTTAGGCTATAGCTGCCAGATAATGTTTTTTTATTTATAAAGCGTATGATAGCCACATAAATCAGAGTCTTACGATAACCTTGTATGAAGACATTTATTTGTTCATAGTTCGCCTTCTATTTGTTTTATTTTTCTTAAACAGAATGGAGATCGCATATGTTGTCATGAAAGCCCTTAATGATTGGAAGGCTTCGGTATAAAATTCAACTTCTCATATGATTTTGGTCAAATATTATAAAACTAGCCTAAGTTATTTCCATTACAATGAATAATTAATCAATTCTCGAAATAAAATTATATATTGAAGAAACCACTTAAGCAAAACACCTTCGCAATTTCATTGACATTGTGCACGCTGCGCATGCGTGCAAGCCGCACTCTTAGAACGGTCACTATCAAGACATTTTCGCCGCGACAAGTGTCCTCGACTATCAAAATCGAGTTCTTAGGCGAGTAAAATATCAATGGCCGCTTGACATATTTGACATACTCACACAAATTGAAATACTATGCATTTTTCATATACGCTTAAGTAATAGCGTGCATGTGTGTTTGTGAACGCAACGCATGCGTGCCGAAATCCGTTTTGCTGCGACCGGTGGGGCGCGTCCACTAATTGCTTGCCGTAAATTGTATTTAAAAAAATAATTCGATAGCCACATTTGCATAAGCAAAAAATAAATAAAACAACAACTACAACTATTGCACTTGATCTAATTTAACTGGATAGACAAGCAACTGCAACGCAATGCGAAACTCAAGCCAGTGGTCGATTGAGACAAATTTTTTGGTTTTCTTTTTTATTACAACTCATTAGGTGCTTAATATTTATTTATTGTCTCTTTGCCTTAAATCTACATATGTGTGTGTGCATTTGAGTTACTTATTCATCGTTGAGAATTTCAAATGGACTCAGCTGTTAATTGACTTGTAATCGATGTTTTGATTTGCCGACACCTTGAAAATGATTTCATTAACAAATGTGAATTATTTTGAATGCCAATCGAACTGCTTTAAGGCTGCTTTACATAATGAATTGTAATTAAATCCAGTATATTAGTAGCAGTCAGTGGTTAGTCATCGATTATGATTATTACTTAATAATTATTTTTTGACGAATTTATTTTGAAATAAAATTATTTTTAAAAATCAGACAGTTGAAAATATTGGATTTTTTTGTCCTCGAAGATCGGTCTTACAGCTCTGTTGCACAACTCAGTATGTTTAGAGATGAAATGTCTTTGAAAGTAAGTTAATTAACAAACAATGTACCACAGTATACATTGAGATATTTCTAGTCTAGTTTGCGTATATAGAGACCGACGAACAGACAGTCGGACATGACTAAAAATATTCAGCTCGTCACGCTGATGATTTATAGGCAGGTTGCCTTTTATATTTCGGGATTTGGTAAACTTAATGTTGCAATTTGGCAACTTACAACTATATCGTACACTTTGACATTTTTAATGTTATACGTACTCAGAACGTTTTGAAATACGAGCGCTCCTTGTGTTGTTTACAGTAACTTCAAATATTCATCTTGGCCAAAAAACTAAATTAAACCGCGAACATTTTCGCGAGATTATTTTTGACAACTTTCGACGTGGATTAACTCAGCAACGATGAACTTAATTACATTTTGGGCCATGAAGCTCCATCAAGCACCAGTCTTTATCCATGGTATGGTAAATTTAATCGAGGTTGTGGATCACTCTAAGACGAATTTCGTGAAGGTTGTCAAAAATTAGTTGTTGTTCCGGAAGCTATTTATGCTGTGCGCAAACTGATATTGCATGATCGTCACACGGAGCACTTCCAAGCAAATGGTTGCCTGATTTTTTTTTTTGGAAAAACTGGATATGTCGCAACCATATCACTAGAACAAAGCAGAACAGTAAATTCTGAGTGATACACAACCATTTATTTGCCAGTTGTCTTTCAAGAAACCAACCGCCGAAGACGGATCACTCTCCACCACGACAATGCGAGACATCGACTGAAACAGCTGAATCATCTGAATTTTTAAGCACTCTAAACATCGATTTAATGAGTCATCCACCGGTCAGGTAACCGTTTTTCAACAACAGAAGAGGCGGTTGATGCGTTTAGAATGCATGTTGGAGATACCTCAATCAGAGTGGCAAAAATGCTTCGACAATTGGTTCAAACGCATGCAAAAGTGTTTAGTTCTTAATGGAGAATATGTTGAAAAACAATAAAGGGATTTTCTATGATTAGAATTTGCTTTTGTTCTCTTATCCCGAAATATAAAAGGCAACCCTCGTATATATACTTAAATTGTCTCCTACGTTTCCTTCTGGCTGTTACAAACTTAGTGGCAAACTTAATATACTCTGTTCAAGGTATAAAAACATAGTTAGTTACTCGTATATTGTGAAAATTTTGAACGGTTGGATATTAACCGGTTCTTGTTCTTATGAAGCTCTGCTTATATCAAAATTCTCTGTTTACGCATATGTGATAATAAATAGTAATATACAAGTAATATTAATTTGCAATAAAATGTTTATTACTTGACTTCATCGGAAACTTCAGTTGTCCACACCCAATCAGCTTGTAGATCACCACCGAAAATTGCAACAAATACGCGCATACATACATACTCGTATACATACATCAGTAGACTTGCATTGAAAGTGCATTAGCTGATGTAATATCCGCCAAAATTTTCCAATTTTAATTTACGCATATTTTGTGGTGTGTTGATTTGTTACATGGGTGTGCACTCGGGCTATACGAGTAATGTCAACATACTCATAAATCTAATAAAATGCTATGAAATTTTAGCAATTCTTTACTAAGTGAGTTATATATTTTATACATATACATACATATATATGCATAAACTGTATGTATAAGAAAAATAAAATAATATGTTTATATTAAAGCATCCACAGAAATTTTCCGAGGAGTTTTCCTAAATACCTTACCTTGACAAGCATTTCATAATATTTTTCGCTGTTCTACGTTATTTCGTATCGGTAATTATATTTATTTATTTTAAAGATTTACAAAATATCGCGCACCTTGGTCTTTGAAAATATTGGTATTTAAATTCGTGTCAGCAAATTTGTATTATTTTAAATTCTGTTTTAAATAAAAATATTAGGAACACAAAAAAGTTGTGTTATTTTAGGAATGGTCTAGTCCTTACAGATATCCTCATCATTTCAAGAATTTCAGTTGTAATAATTTCTCTGTTAAAGTGTACGTATCATATATGTTAGCCTACTATACCCAAAAAGCAATGGTTATCGCAACTATTTACGATGAACATAAATGTATTTAATACATGATCTACATAAAAAAGTTTATCTAGATAACTAGATATCAAGACCTATATAAAACAATTAAAATAAAGATTTTTCAGCTTTTTCAAGAAAATCTATGTGAACGGCATTAAAAGGAGTAGTATGTCGAATGTTCTAGAAGTCAAAAACTGGAAGGCTGAAAATGTAAGATCAAAAATGTTTCAGCATTGATCTTCCAAAGCCATGAAAGTCAGCCAGTTGCCAGAGCATCAATTGCACTTTTTTTGTTTTTTGTTGATGTTTCACATTTAAAAATACCTGGTATAATTAAGGATGCCCATTGATCCTAAATTCTTCAAATGATTTCATAATAATAAAACCGTTAAAAATAAAACTATTATTTTTGCAGTAAATTGAAAGATTTACTCAGTATAGTTAGAATGATCCGATTTAGACCAAATAGGCACCGCGCTTATAATGTTGAAATTATCGTCGCTATTGACCAAAAACTGGCACAGTCGATTGTTCCAAGTTTCTTTTGGTAAGGTGAATACATTAGAACCTTCCAATAAAGCTCCTGTAGCTTCTCGTTAGTCACTATCGATGTATGTCGCCTGAGGTTGTTCCGATGAAACATAATTTCTCTCCTACTGGCGAAAGCTGGCCGTTGGATCCTTCCTTCAGTCAGACAGTCAATTTGTTGATGGTATGGGTGCGATTTAAAGGCTCTACCGTAGGAGAGTAGCTAATAATGGGTGATTCCATGCTAATCCCACAAACACATAGCAAAACCTTCCTGACCTCCAATCCTCGCTTGGCCATAGTATGCGCCGGCTTACCGCGATTCGAACACGACCGTTTTCGCTGGACATTGTCGTAAGTGTTCCATTTTTTATCACCAGTAACCATCGGCTTCAGAAATGGATCGTTTTTTTTTTTTTTGCGATTCATCAGCGATTCGGCCCAAGAGACGTTTTTGAGTTAACGCGTGTGGCTTCCAAACATCGATCTACTTTTAAGAACAGTATTATTCAAATGTTTTCAAACAGTGCTTTGTGCAATGCCTAGCCCTTTAGTGAGCGAAGCATTGCTTACATGATGGTAGGGTTACACTACGTTTCGGTCACCTGGCTTGTATTTTCGCCTTTATCGAAGAAAAACTGTAAAGTATGTCATATTTTCTTTTTGCTTGTGTTTATCTTTGAAGTGGAAACAATACTGAGTTAAGCAATCGCAAAATTTTCTGATAAGCTTCTTAGTACGAGTCTTATATATCTAGCGCCATATAATGATCGCACTTATACAAAGCGAGATATATATAGACTTTAGATTCTATTGGAGAAATAATGGATTTTTTAATTCAACTTTATATTTCATATCTAACAGTAAATCGTCAAATTAGTTATTTCTTGAACTCGTAAATATCGAATGAGTCTTTCATTAGCTCTGTTGCTCAGATGATTGCTCAAATGAACATCGGTTGTTTATAGAGTGAAATCTACAAACATTCTACATAACCTTTAATGCTATTTTTACATTTTCTGACTTTTGTTCTATGCTCTCACAGTCTAGAGTATTTTTTTTTTTTCAAATTAAATTCAAAAGAAAGAAATTATTATTAATATTTTTTTTGAAATTGCATACTTTGATACACTTTATTCGGTTTACATATGAGTATTAACATACAATAATAGTAATGTAGGTATTTATCGCGGTCAAACAGCCTTAAAATAACTAATAAAAAACGAGAATTGTAACGAATAACGAAGATAGTATTTAAGTATAAAGAAAATGGTAAAGCGCGTGAATGTACATATGTATGAAATATTGAGATATTTTAACATGTATAAATATTTATAGAGATATAATAACAAGCCAACGAGATTAACATAATAAGCATAAAGCAAAGTGTCTCATTGTCAACGTCCTTCGGCTGGGAGACTTCAACAGTGCAGCAAAGAGCGGAGAACAACTGAAGTGCGAATTCGAAGTGCGTATGTATGTGATTGAAAGTAGATGTATTAACTACGACTACCACCACTACTACTACTACGGTATTTATTAATTCGTGTACAGTAGAATTCCGTCTGCTGCCGTGCGAGAACACTTCAAACCCGGACACACTTTGCAGCATACTCTACCGCTAGGCGGAGCAAATGCAATTGCTTTTGTTTTGTTGGACGGTTTGTCTGTTTGTTTGGTGGTTTTGTTGGCTTGCAGAGGGCTAGTAATGTTGTAATGTTGTTGTTGTCATTCATTCAATAATGGGGTGATGGCAGCGGCAAGAGGTCGGCAACGGCAATGCTTCACATTTTCTCATATGTGAATTGACTAAGTGTAGTATATTTGTTGTTCTTGTTTATTGAAGAGGTTTTCCATGCAACATGCAGATCACGTCTAACCGTGGTAGATGGATGCAGCAAGTGGTGCGTGACCAAGCCCTGGTAAAGCGGACAAAGCTGGCAAGCCTGGCAGAGCTGAGATGGCTGGAATGGCCTTCGCTAGGACTGGTGCGGACAACAGAGGAGCTGGAGCTAGAATCTTGGCAACTGGGGCGACCGCCTTAACAGCGATTGGTTCACGGCGAACGACAGCGTTAAAGCCGTGCACTGGATCAGCGACGTATTCGACAATGCGACGTGTACCATCGGGTTCGATGAGCGAGTAAGCGCCCTGCACCACATCACCACTGCGTTGTTCCTGTTGGCTCTTCACATCACCGGTCGAACCATCCTAGAGGGGAGTGGACAAAAAAGCGAAAGTTCAACATTTAATAAGCCATTGCTAAACGTGCGTCTGCGTTGGCTAGCACTCGACGCGCATACTCACATGTACGTCATAGCTGAAGCTATATTGTGGATTGGGGTCGTATGGCTCGGGAGCGGCCACCTTGGCGATGGCAAGTGGCGCGGCGTACTTGGTGTAGGCGGGCAGCACCGGCGCAGCGATCTTCGTCAAAGCTGGCAGTGCAGGCAATGCGGGCAAGGCGGGCAACCCCAGACCGGGGTAACCGGGCCCTGGCAGGACAGCGACGGCGCTAGCGGCGGCCACCAAAGCGCTGAGAATGATCAACTGCAAATAGAAAAAAAGTGTCAACAAGCGTTAACTTTCTATTCTAAACAGCAGCGCAGCATCATCCAATTGCTGGGTTAGGAGTTGTGCAATTTTGCTAATCCTTCTGCAGAGGTGCGTGCGTAAGCACATACACCCACAAGCAGACACACTTGCCTTTTGTACCATGACTGCTTGACTGTTGCGTTTGACAAATGAAATTACTCTGTGGTTCTATGCAAGATCAGCAATTGCTTTATATAGGCGCAGCAGCCAGCCGATTTTGCTGCCACTTCGCAGAAAATGTGTGCATTGAAATTTACGCCCGCTTGTACTTGCCATTTGGCTGATGCAAGCGACAAACAACAGCGAAAAAACTACAACAACAACACCATTTATACATATTTTTATGCAAAAGTAAGAAAAAAGTACCAGACAACAATAACAACAAGAGAACACAAAGGCGTATTAAACGCATACAAAAAATGTATCTTTGAACGAAATTAAAATAATTCATTTTTCGTCGTTATGATGAAGGCAAGAGCGACGGCGGTGCCGGTGGCGGCAGCAGATTTAGCTGAAAGCTGTGCGCGCTGAGTGGTGCTGTGCGCGGAGGCGGCGGTGGCCACGTTCGCGATTTAGGCATAGGTTAGGCGCTTATGCGCTTAGGCCTATAACAACTGCAATAACTGCATCGAATGCGGCACAACAGCAACAACGTCGACAACAACAACAATGTAAAATAAGAACAGCAAATGGCAAGAGCACGCATGCCGCCATGGAACAAGCTCCACACACACCCATCTCGTAACTGGTGCAATGTCTCAGCGTCTTGGCGGCCTGCTGACTTAGCGGCGCAGTATGTTACATGCCCCACAGGCGTCGCCCAAGTACACATACAGTGAGCACTGCATACGCACGCGCTTGCGCATGCAATTTTTCAGCCTGCCCGGCCTGCAGCCGCCTCGAGGTGGCAGGGAATTTTTTCCAACGCCGCCGCTCTATAGGCCAGTTACCGTGCCACGTAATGCACAATTTAGGCCTATTAAGCCACCAATACAGCAGATCGAACGCGTGTCGGACAAGTCGAGTAGTGGACCAAATACTAGCGCACACACATACATCTGCGCCGTTAGTTGCATGCATTTCGTTGGCGGCTCCTTTCGTTGTCACTGATTGCGGCCGCTTTAGCTGCACCCCTCAATGCTGGCGGCTGGCGGCTTCCGCCTTAAATGCTCGCCTTTAATTGACAAATTTAACTTTGCATTTCGTTTCAGTTTTAATTTAAAAGCAATGTCCCTAAAATCACGCAATGCTTTAAGTATTCTAAGTAAAACGCTTTAGTAAAAATCGTGTTGGTAATTAGTTTTATGCATCGTGTCACTTAAGTGCGGCGAATGTGGTTAGCAATGACAGAGGTGTGCCGGGTTGCAGCATGAAATCAGTACATAAACATAAGTATCTGTTTAACAGACATTGAAAGAATTTAAATAACATTTTAATCTAGAAACGTTGATAACAGTTCAGTTCTGCTTTAAGCAACTTCCTCCGCTCGAGCGAAAACCTTTATATCACGTGAAAAGTGTTACATCTCAAGCAGTTAACCTGTTCTAAACTAACAAGAAAATTACTCACACCCTTACTATAAAATTTTCGGGAAGCTTTTGCTTTATTACGTCTTTTTGTGAAATCACATTTACCGTTTGGGACACTGATTTAAAAGTAAATTATTTAAATATTAAACAATTAGCTATAAAAAATATTTCTAAAAACTCAATCATTCGTAACATCTCTAAAAAGTGACCCAAATTAGTCTATTTGTGATTAATTTTTCATTTCAAGATTTCTCTCATATCGATAATTCCATCTGAGTGCCGAATTTTATTTGATCGTTCGTTCACATTGCAGGAAAATGGTTCTTAAACCAAAATAGCGATAGGAGAGTAACTAATTGCCGAGCAAGATGTAAAATATTTAGGGAACTTAACTTACTTAAAGATACACTTCCTCCACAAAAGGGTGTGTCTGGCAGTGAGCAAGACTAAATCAAAAAAAGTAAACGTTTATTTTCAGGACAGATAAAGACAGAACGAACGAAGAAACAGTAAAAAAATTAGATTTAAGACCACTTGCAAGTCCGAAAAAATTCGTTATTTTTGTGATTTTTTATCGAATGTAAAGACTTCAATATGCTTTAAAAATTGATTATTCATTTAGAAAAATTTTAGATGCCCTTGATAGCGTAGCCGATCTCCTGAAGGCCCTCCGAAAAGGATGTTTGTTGCTTAAAATTGATATCCAAACAAAAAAATAATAATATTTTTATAGATTAATACAGGTAATGACCGAGGGTTTTGTCAAAATTTTGAATTTTCTCAAAGTGACGGTTTCACAAATAAGACCAATTTTGTGAAAAAATTTACACTTCAGAGTGCCTTAAAAAATCAAAATTATTATCAAAATCTTATTACTTTGCTTTACTTTAGAAGATTGTGTGAAAATTTCGATTGGTCTAGCCGCTTCGTAAAAATTTTCTCCACCGCTTATATCTATCTTATCATATCTTTTTTTATACTCTTGCCACATGTTGCTACAGAGTATAATAATTTTGTTCACCTAACGGTTGTTTGTATCACCTAAAACTAATCCAGTTTGATATCGAGTTATATTATATATAAATGATCCGGATGGCGAGACGAGTTGTAAAAACTAGGGACGTGGTCAGTGCGTTAAATATATAAGTAAATATGACATAGACATACAATTTTACTAAAATTAGACGATGCGCGTGACACTGCCTACATTTAGGTGAAAACCCATGTCTCGGGACTTACACAATCGTTTTTAAGCAAATTCGGTTAGTTATATTTGCCTGACATTCCTACATATAGTGCCTTTAAGGTGTGTTATCTTATGACCAGTGGCAAGTTGCAAGAGTATGAAATGGTCGATCACACCCGAACTTAGCCCTTCCTTACTTGTTAGATAAAATATTGTACCTTCGGTACAAATGTCTGACATCGTCAATAGTCCGAGGATTGATGTTAACCGAACTTGCTCTAATACCCAGCAATTATTACAATATGTTTTGAATTAAGTTGGAGTAACTTAATCAAATTACTCTAAGATGAATGTCTGTGTGTATAATTTCATTTTTTACTTTTGCAACCGTGAAATGCAAATTAACTCGCAAATTAACAAGTGTAGAGGGAATGTCGCACTACTCTATTTCAAACATGTATTCCATCAATTTTTTTTTTCAAAAATATGCTGTTATTCTTCAAAGATCGTTAATTTGTTTGCACATGCGCGTGTGCGCAAACGTCAATTTTGCTTTCAATTAGTTGCCTGAATATTTCGCACAACTTTTTTTCTAAACAATTGCTTGTCTACTCGCTCCTTTGTAATGTTAAACATAAATAAATATATTTTTTTATTTTGGCTATAAGTATTGAAATTCGCTTGTTGCCAGCGATTACGTCTTTGTCAACATTTTTTCGTTTCGTTTTTTGTTGCAACATACACTTGCATAGGTAAATAAGCGCAAAAAAATTTAAGCCTCTAGATGCATTGTTGTAACAGCAAGAGTATCATATGAACGACGGTATAAATATGTATGCCTGTGGCAATTTTCTTGGCATGCCACTTGTGCGAATGCAATTAGATTCCAACTGACAGTTTAACAACGAAATCCACCATAAATTGCCACTGAGTAGTGGTGCTTGAATTTATATTGCAGAATTTGGTGATATCAATTATTTGTGACGAATTCCAATAAGATTACTTCCCCAATCAGTTGCAAAATGCTAATGTAATTTATGCTAAAAATAGAAGGGATCAACGTTTTTAATTCTGACTTGACATCAGTGCAATATTTGCTATTTTTATAAAAAGATAATCTTCGCCACTCTAATAGAGTTATATATGAGTCATATAGTATAGTGTTAAAACAGTTAAAAAAAATAAATTGTTGCATATTATCTACAATACATACTCGTGCAATATAATTTAAATGTATTTGATTAAAATCGAGTCCACCGCTGTGACCTGTACTCTATTGGGCCGTTCACCCATCTTTACTAGCTAAACTGTCCACCGTCTCATTATTTTTTTCTTTTGTTGCCAACACTTTGTTTTTTTTTTTATTTAAAAACGTAAGCATAGAAATAAAATATATTTGCTTATAAAAAACATAAAGCTTGGAGGCTGTCGTGAAGATACCTTCAAAAATAAATGAGTTTTCCATGCAAGGCCTTGAGTTTGATCTGTCAATTGTATGGCAGCAATATGCTATAGTAGGCCCATCTGAACAATTACTTTGAATATTTCCATAAAAGCACTTTAATTTGATAATTTCGCTTGTATGACACCTATATGCCCAAGTGACCAGCTATCTGCCGTTCCATTGCTAAATCGACTTGGCTCGTCACGCTGATCATTTATGTATGTATAATATAATATATTGTATATACTTTATAGGGTCTCAGATGTTTGGTTTTGTGTGTTACAAACTTCGTGGCCACCTTATTATATCCTGTTCAAGTTATAAAAATACTACACAATAGTAAATTTCTCTTACGATAGTAGCGCTATTGGGTGGTGAGGTGAAGCCTCGTATCGCTTTTCTCCCACTTACAAAATGATAAAATTGTTTTATATAAACAATATACAATACAAATTTTTGGTTTAATACATATCTCTCACCATTTTTTTTTCGTGAATTGAAACTCTCGTGGTGAGATTCTGTCGGTACTCGTATTTATACATATTCATCGATCATAAAGTATATAATTATATGTATTTTTTTTCTTAAAAGCGATCAGTTATGATTTTGTAAACATTCTGTCATTCGACATAATTTTATCTTTGCTAATAATCAAGTAGTTACGCACATTTAAAATTTGAGTAGCGTAAAAGGGTTTGGCGAGCATATAATAACTCTCATAAATCCAAAATATTCACACACATAAACTATAATATTACAATTTTCTGCATATTTTATGAGACTTTTCAACTGCGAATGATTTACGCATGTCATATGACAGTGCCAACGTTTGCAATATTGATCTAAAAAATAAAAATATCAAATCAACAAAGCAACAAAAAAAAAAACCGCGGTCAGTGCGTGCGACATTCGTTTTGGCTGAAATTTAAGGCCGGACCACTGGGCGTATACGCAATTGACACATGCGAAAAATAAGAAAAATTAGAAATATTGAGAAAAGT